CCGGCAATTTTTGATTTTTTTAATAGAGATGGGATTTTGCCACATTGGCCAGTTGCTGAGCCACTGTGCCTAGCCTCATCTAACTATTTTCTGTGTAGAGCAAAGATATGAAAGAACCAACTATAACCCAAACCTATCATTTTTCACTGGGGAAAACCCCAGTCATCCCACCCAATTTCAAGGTCACACTTATTAGCAGTAATGTTCATTTGGACGTTATTAACTGAGTGGCCTCAGACAAATGATTTATCCTACTGGTGCCTTCACCTCCTGATTTGTAAGATGGAGATAATAAGAATGCTGTCCCTATAGTATTGTTCATCTAAACATTTGTTAAGAAGGTAGCCCTCAGACCAAGCACGGTGGCTCACGCCTGTAATCTCAGCACTCTGGGAGACCAACGCAGGTGGATCACTTGAGGTCAGGAGTTCAAGACCAGCCTGGCTAGCATGGGAAAACCCCATCTCTACTAAAAATACAAAAATTAGTTGGGCATGGTGGTATGTGCCTGTAGCCCCAGCTACTTAGGAGGCTAAGAAAGGAGAATCCCTTGAACCTGGGAGATGGAGGTTGCAGTGAGCCAAGATCGAGCCATTTTACTCCAGCCTGGCCAACAGAGTGAGACTCTGCCTCAAAATAAATAAATAAATAAATAAAAGAAGGTAGCTCTCATATTAATGTTCTTATCACAATACTTTTTTAAAAAAAGAATATCAGCTGGGCGCAGTGGCTTACGCCTATAATCCCAGCACTTTGGGAGGCCAAAATGGGTGGATCACGAGGTCAAGAGATTGAGACCATCCTGGCTAACACTGTGAAACTCCATCTCTACTAAAAATACCAAAAAATTAGCCGGGGGTGGTGGCATGCACCTGAAGTCCCAGATCCTAGGGAGGCTGAGGCAGGAGGATCACTTGAACCCGGGAGGCAGAGGTTGCAGTGAGCCAAGATCATGCCACTGTACTCCAGCCTGAGTGATAGAGCAAGTCTCTGTCTCAAAAAATTTATAAAAGGATATCTACCTCATAGTTTATTAAGTTAATAAGGGTAAAAGGATTAGCACAGTGCCTGGCACATAGTATAAAATAAATAAATGAAATAGACAGCACATCTTCTACTGTTCTCTAATTGCTTCTGCAATCTCATAGTCCTGACAATACTATGAACTGTTTAAGGTCAGGGACCACACCAGCACTGTGCATTCCTGTCCGTCTTCCGTTCCTCAGTGAACTTAAAGCAGAGCTAGACATGTTAGGTCACCAGCAGACAGCTGTGCGTCCAACTGTGGCAGAACTGCACGGGAGAAAGCAGCCTGCAATACAGTGTCACTCATGCTAAGCAATGTCTTTAGATCCATGGCTGCCTAAATATTTGACCCCAATGCACAATAACAAATAATTTTTAGGTTGTAACCCAATATACACCTGCATATGCCCCTATGTTTTATAGTATATCTCTAAATGAAATAAAAGTTTTGTAAAACAATACTTATTCTGTTCTTTTTTTTTTTTTTTGAGATGGAGTCTCGCCCTGTCACCCAGGCTGGAGTGCAGCAGCACAATCTTGGCTCACCGCAACCTCCACCTCCCAGGTTCAAGCAATTCTCTTGCCTCAGCCTCCTGAGTAGCTGGGACTACAGGCACATGCCACTATGCCTGGCTAATTTTTTGTATTTTTAGTACAGATGGGGTTTCACCATTTTGACCAGGCTGCTCTCGAACTCCTGACCTCAGGTGATCTGCCTGCCTCAGCTTCCCAAAGTGATGGGATTACAAGCGTGAGCTACTGCACCCTACCAACTTAATCTATTCTTACTACATAAAATATGCTCTGATCTTTTCTAATCTAGTTAAATCTAGTCCAGTGATTCTCAAACTTAATTGTGCATTTAAATCACTTGGGGATCTTAGCACTTGGATTCAGCAGGATTTAGGTATGGTCAGAGATTCTGCATGTCTGTCATGCTCCCAGGTGACACTGCTGGTCTCATGGACCATACTTTGAGTAGTAAGAGCCTCATCTAATCTATTTAAAGTTCTGAACCCTTGGGCTAAAAGTCTTAGGCTGGGTGGGAAAGTGTAGGGGAGGGTGCTTTCAGCATGAAAGACTCATACTGACTTTCATACTAAGACTGAAATGCCTGCGGGGTTCCCAGCCCTTTCCTCATGTCTCAAGCCTACACCTTGCAACTATATTCATTAAATTGATGAAGCACTTACTATGGGCAGGATACTGAACCAAGTACTTTAGATCCAACCCAGTTACTTCTATAGCCACCCTATGAGGTTATCCCCATTTTACAGATGAGAGAAGGTAAGTGTCTAATAACTAGTGAAGCTGGGCTCCAGAGGCTATGATCTCACGAGAGCAAGCCTCCAAGATGGCTCCAGCGATCCCTGCCTCATGGTATTTGTGTCTTGTGTAGCCTCTTCCACACTGAATAAGACTGACCTTGTCACCAACAGATTATTGAGGAAATGAGAGTGTGTGGCTTCCAAGGCTCAGTTAGAAAATAACATTGTGGCAACCGTCTTTCACTCTCTTGGGTCACTGTCTCTGGAAGAAGCCAGGTTGCCATGTCATAAGAATTCTCAAGCAGTCTTATGAAGAAGTCCCTATAGCAATGGATTGAAGACTCCTGCCAACAGCCAGTGCCAACTTGTTAGGCAACAAGTGAGCCCTGTGGAAGTGAGTGCACCAGCCTATCAAATCTTCAGATGACTGTAGTTCCGGCCAACATCTTGACCGCAACCTCATGAGTGACGCCAAGCCAGAACAACCCAGCTAGGCTTCTCTCAAATTCTCAACCCACAGAAACTACGTGAAATAACAAATTGGATTGTTCTGCAACATTATGTTTTGGGGTAATTTGTTATGCAGGAAAAGATAACTATACTTGTCCCTCAGTATCCATGGGGGATTGGTTCTAGGACCTCCTTCGGATACCAAAATCCAAGGATGCTCAAGTCCCTGATATAAAATGGTGTAGTATTTTGCATGTGATGGGACTCAGAAAACAATACCCCAGAATGAAGTTCTCAGAAGCAGCCTCAAAAACAAATGTTTCTCTGACTTTGTCCTGCCCTCCTGTCTCTCGGTCCCATTTCCCCACAAGGCTAGCCATAAAAACTGGGATCTCTCTTCCCTAATGTGTGTCAGAAACCAGAACCCCATTTCCTCAAAGCCAGTCATGAAATCTTAAACTATTACCCTAACTTTCCCTCTGCCTTTCTGTGTCAAAACAGGCCATAAAGAAATTGTCTTACCTACATTGTTTAACTGTAGGTCATGAGACTCCCATTCCAAGCTGACTGCAGTGGCTTATACCTGTAATCCCAGCACTTTGGGGGGCTGAGGCAGGTGGATCACTTGAGGTCAGGAGTTCGAGACCAGCCTGGCCAATATGGTGAAACCCTGTCTGTTCTAAAAAATACAAAAATTAGCTGGGTGTTGTGGTGCCTGTCTGTAATCCCAGCTACTCAGTAGGCTGAGGCAGGCGTATCACTTGAATCTGGGAGGTGGAGGTTGTAGTGAGCCAAGATCACACCACCGTACTCTAGCCTGGGTGACAGAGAGAGACACCATCCTCACACCCAGAAGGAATGAATGCTGCATAGAGGCCAAAAAGAATCTATACAGATCAGTCTTGTTGGGCTTCTCTACTCAGTCCACTAACTTTAGATCACACCCTTTTTGTCCAATCATATTTCTACACAACTGTCCATACTCTGTTGAACCTAAGCATAACGATGGGCAATTTTCCCCGTATCTTTGGGTTTTCATTCTGAAGGCTCCCATACATGATAATGAATTTGTATGCCTTTTTGCCTATTAATCCGCCTCTTGGGCCAGGCATGGTGATTCATGCTTGTAATGGCAGCTCTTTGGGAGGCCGAGGTGGGTGCATCACTTGAGGCCAGGAGTTAAGAGGCCAGTCTGGCCAACATGGCAAATCTCTCCCCTAAAAATGCAAAAATTAGTAGGGCATGGTAGCTGGTGGTGTGCGCCTGTAATCCCACTGTAATTCCAGCTACTCAGGAGGCTGAGGCATGAGAATTGCTTGAACCCGGGAGGTGAAGGTTGCAGTGAGCTGAGATTGTGCCTCTGCAGTCCAGCCCGGGCAATGGAGGGAGACTCTCTTAAACAAAACAAAACAAATCTGCCTCTTGTCAGTGATTTTCAGCAGACCTTCAGAGGGCAAAGCAGAAAGTGTTCTCTTGGTCCTTACACATAAAACCTATGCATATCCTTTTGTATACTTCAGATGACCTCTAGATTACTTATAATACACAATACAACGTAAATGCTGTGTAAGTAGTTGCTATATTGTACTGTTTAGGGAATAATGATGAGAAAAAATGTCTATACGTGTGCAGTTTGGACACAATTTTTTCCCAAAGACTTTAAATTTGTGGTTGGTTAAATATACAGATGCAGAACCCACAGATACAGAGGGCTGACTGTAAAACACTTCTTAACCAATAACTCACATTGCATCATTATGATTCAGCCCTAAAAGGAAAGTGACACTTATATGAAGGCTCTTTGGATTAATTCTGATGTGGCAGCTTACATCAAGGTTCAGGAAATGTTCATTTTCCTCTAACAACCAACCTTCTGGGAGACACCTATTCCCAAGTCTGTGTTATATGTGATTTCCTGATTTGCTTTAGCCAGTTAGATACAGAGCTGTGGTGTTACATTATATCCAAGCAGCAGCTTTTGGAGATGCTATAAGAATCTGCCTGCCCTTTTTAGCAACTGCAGTCATCTGTAAAAACAACGCATCACAGACAGTGGTTATTCCTTTAGTCTGTGTCCCAGAATGGGAAGGCATGGAGCACAGACCTGAATTTGACCCCCAGCTTGGAGACAAGCTGAGCATAAGCAGAGGTGCAGCTGACTTACAGATTCATGAGTGAGAAATAAGTGCTTGCTGTTGTAAGACACAAGATTTGGGGCTGTTTGTTACTGCAGCAAAACCTGCCCGATACACTCACCATGCTGGATGATGCCATGGTCCATAAGCCGGTGGCAAAGCTGCTCTGCCTCTTTCCTCGTAGTGGCCTCACCTTCTTGAACCAGCCAGTCCAGGAATTCAGATGCCATGAAGGTACGCTCATACTTGACCCCTTCTTCCTCCCTGGGCTGGAGAAGTGTGTTTTCAGGGCTCATCAGCCTAGAAATTTAAAAAAAAAGGAAAAGAAAAATAAACAAACCTACACAAAAGGAAACCAGCTCATTTGAAATCATAGACTTCTGTGAAGCACCACAGCGAAGTTGTCAGACAGACAGATGCAGCTGTCAGGTGCCACCACACGTGCAATTTCTAAGAGGAGGATCTGCTTCAGAAGTAAACAAGATGCATTTTCTCCTAGTAATTAGAAAAAAAAAAAAAAAAACTGGAAATACAATCCAAAACTCTACGATTAGCAGACTGCATTCAAGTTGGCAATCTTGAAAAGCAGTTACAACTGACTGACCCTGTTCTACTCTACTTTTCTGAAAAGGCTAGTATTTCTTTCCTAATGGCATTATTTCACTTCTGTGCTAAGAAGAAGACTAGTGCTGTGAACTGAGTGTTTGTGTCCCCGCTAATTTTTTTTTTTTTTTTTTTTTTTTT